CCCCAAAACCCCAAAACCCCAAAACCCCAAAACCCCAAAACCCCTTCGATGAAGGATGAAATTGAATAATAAAAATTATATAACATGGAGAGCGCAACAGAAATATTGAGGAAACGGATGAAGGAGTTGGTGTTACAGCAAATGGAGGAAGATGAAGCGATTGTGAAGAGTAATACGGGGGTTAATAGTCAATATCAGCAGAAAGACCAATCGAAATTTCTTAAAAAGGTAGGTATAAGTAGATTAATTACCAGAAATAAGAAGAAATTAGCCAAGAGAAATAATGTGCCAATGCCGATCAGTATAAATGTGCATGCAGAAGAACCTAAAAAGGGAAATAAATTATCGAGTTTCTTAAATCCAGACATCGATGTTAAATCAAGCGAGCAATTAGCTTCCAGCACCGAAAATAATGAGGATCAAAAAGTAAAGATTGTGAATGGTTATATAACTGAGAATCAACAAATAGATGAGAAGTTAGCCATTTTTGTTTCATATTTAGACTCCTCAATGAGGAGCATGCAACAGATGCGCCAATCAACATTGCAAATACAGATCAAGAAGTCGACCAATTCACATTTGGCGAGAGCCAAGAAGAAGGTAGCCACTTTCAGTTAAATATAATCAGATGTAGAAAACTTATATAAAATGTATTCTACAACAGGAGAACCGAGACAAGACTCAGTTGAAAGAGAGCTTGGAGCAGAGCTGAATGCCGAATTAGAAGAAGAGACAAGAAAGCTGAGTAGATCTCGGAAGAACTTCAGTAATTTCTACCTAATTTTCATCAGATCGAACGACCCATATGATCACAAAGGCTAAAAAGAAACTATATAAGGCTAAATAGAAGAGTTAAGTTAGATGATGACATGTGATTTGGCATAATAATATATAGAAACTGTACCTTCCAACCAGAGATAAACAAGATCAGCTACGCAGTAACTGCTAGAGATGAACGAGACTCGAAGCCTCATTGGGACAGACTCATTGAGCATAATACTAAAGTCAAAAGGATGCATGATCAAAGGTTCTTAAACAACAAAATTAAAAAGTACAAGAATGAGACCAAAGGGTGTACTTTTACCCCTAGAATCAACTATTCAAGAGACGAAGATTTCGAAGCTCCTGAAGAGCAGCTAATCACCTCAACTATTTACGACAGACAGAGCTTATGGAAGCTTAAGAAGGATATGAAAGTAGACGAAGAACGTACAAAGTAATTTCTAGATCATCTATCTCTATAGAAGGAAGAGAAAAGAAACAGAAAACTGAACTTTTAAGCCAAAAATTAACCACATCAGGAAGCGCAATGGCTACGCTATAGATACAGTTCTCTCCAAGACTGGTGTAGAAGAGCATATTGCTAGGCAATATGGTGCTCTAGAAGAGAGATTGGAGAAACAGAGATTACTTGAGCTAGGAACGACAATTCCTGGTTATAGAAGGCCAAAAAGAAAAATATATTAGTCTGTCTTCAATCTGAGCAATTCTAAAAGGGGTTTTGGGGTTTTGGGGTTTTGGGGTTTTGGGGTTTTGGGG